CGGAGGTCGCAAATGTCCTACCCGGACAAAAAGCCAAGAGGGAAGAGAGCCTTGTTTCCGGAGGAGAAATCTGCAGATCGGGAGACTACCGATGAGGCTCAGGAAAAAACACCACTGGCAGAGAAAAGACGTATTGCTTGGTGCAATACGGAAAAGGCAGCTGTGGTGAGGCAGTTTGGCCTGTTTGTTAGCCGCATAGAGGTTCCTGGCCAAGCTGCATGCTTGCCAGGAACTGTCAGCAGAAAATGCTCTGTTCCAGCGTTCATGGAGAGATGTTAAATATCATGTCCATAACGTGATTGTTAGAGCACGTCGTAAGGCGAAGTGAGTGTCAGTGACTTACACCTTAGATGTCGACTTCGTTCACGTTTGCATGATGCTCGCCCGTAAAGCTCGCAACAACAAAGACGACCTCCTTGTTGTTGCCCCCGTTTGTAGTAGAAATCTGTGTAAGTGGAGCTGATGAACGGTGAAAAAGCAATGCTCACCAAGGACAGTGTGGCGAAATTTGCAATTCTGGGAGGAAGATGACACCTAGGCACGGAAATAGACGCACCCCACCGGTAAAAATGCGCTATACCTGAATGCCAATTTGGCAGCAAATTAGGTGTGTCATTCTGTTGCATCTTTCCAATACAGGATTCAATGCAAATGCTTCTTTCTGTACGTCATTTTTGAAATCCTTTGGCAAACCTGACGCCACTACACCTAACCGAAGTACACTTGTTACATTGACAAGGGATGGGTCACAGGGGCCTTTGACTAGTTCTTGAAGACTGGAATGGGCGCGTGGGCGTCGAGCACGAAATCTCGCATCAGCCAACCAACCGACATGTTTATGCGGCAGCTCATTTGGATTCAGTGACTGACTGCAATGAATGTAATGACTGACTGCTTGATTTTAGTGTGGCAAGGTCCTCCTTCCTCGCTCAGCAGCTGATTGCTACATCACACCGCACCATGGATTCCATTTGTATGAAGAAAGTGCATATGCGTAATTGATGCGTATATAAAAACCCAACACATACGCAAGCTGTGGGAAAGGCACATTAAACAGGTAGAGTGAGCATGTGACTCATAGTTACACCAGCAGCGAACCATTCACCCACACTCAGTAGTATAAAAGAGGCCACCATTAAGTAGGCCGCTGCATTGACGCCGGCACAGGCCGTATCCCAACAGCGGGCCACAAACTGTGTACCCCACCAATGGAGCAGACAGACGCCGCCGCGCACTCGCACAGCCAGTCACATCCACAGCATTAGTGGTCGTGTGCTGTCGCTCTGAGACACCGGGGTTCGCGAGCAGGGTCGAGCCATGGGGCTTTGTATGCTGACTGGGACACCGGCAGTGTAGGAGGGACTGTCGGAGTCACCTGCGAAAGGGATGAAGGGCGGCTGCCCGCCGAAGCACCTGAAGCTGCAGTAGCTCGGTCAGCGGACAAACAGTTCCAGCAGCACCTCAAGTCACTTTTTCCATCGCTGTCTGGAGCGTCGCCTCCGTTGCCCGCTCCTCAGTCCCGGCTGCCTTCTGCTGCAACTGTTGCAACAGCAGAAGCTTTGGGAAAACCGCCGTCGAGTAGTGTGCCGCCGACCGGGTCATTGATGATGCTTTAGCACTGTTCGCTCTATTAGTGCTAAAGCGTCATGGAACCCAAAAGGCGTTGGTCGCCCTTTCTCCCACCCTAATCGGGCCGTTGGGGCCGGAAAACATGAAGTGTCCCGGGTGTCCAGCCGTCGGGGCAAACACTCAACGGGTAGTCTAATGCACTACAGTCATTTGTCATACCGTCCGAGGCAATGCCACAGTATGGGAGGTCGATGTAGCCAAAATCGGTTGGTGACATCAACCGGCCTGGGGAGGGCTTTATCATGAAGAACGTGCAGCAGGCATTAACATGGCGTATGCTACTATTTATCCGACTTGTTGATTTAGACTTGAACGGGAACCGGGACGGGACGGGAACCGGGACGACCAGAAAGTGCATCATGATAAAATGAAGTAAAACGATTGTTGTATTATGGACGAATGTTTTAAGCAGCAGAAAGCCTACGATCCGCCGTTATTTGCCTATATTTGAACGCAAACCAACAGCCTGACGCGCAAGCAGGAGCGCAGGGAGGGAAGGGCACAGAGGGCACGTTCCCCCTGCCTAGGGTTTCAAGGGACCCGAAGGGCCTCAGGATTTACGATAAAGGACCTGATTTGAGAGCCCAGAGGGCCAGAAAGGTCGGCTGGAAGACTATCCAGAGCCCCGGCCGGCACGATGGGGCACTCCAATGCCAGCCATATTTTTTTCGGGGCGGGGGAGGGGGGGGGGGGGCTTTCACTATTGGGGATCCGTTTATCAACCTTGTGCCCGCTCCTGGCCCATTGCCAAGGTTCTGACTGCGCGCTTGTGCACAAGGTAGCGCATTGATATCTGGCCGTGTCTGGTTTGTCGCCGTCATCTTTCAAAGGTGGCCGCGACGCTGGCTTATGAGATGGTCGTTGCCTCGGT